CGGCCTGCTCTGCCTTTTCTCTTTCAGGGTTATGAAAGCTCTTTCTAGTACTCACACAAACACACTTTGATTCTCAGGGAACGTTCTTTAATTGACTCCTCAGCTAACCTTATATTTAGATTCAGAGTGACTTAGGCTCATGACGTTATCTGAACGATCGATGGCTGCGTGTTTAGTCCCTGACTGGCACTCCTTTTGGTTCTGTCAATGATTGTGCTCAAGAACAAAGGGTGGAATTTTTTTCTTATCTCCCTCTGCTGATGAGACCATCCTGAAGGTGGTGTTGTAAAAAATCCTCCCTGGTCGACCTTTAGACCTTTTGGGTGGCGGTGTCTCAGTGAGAAGAGGAGATAATCACACAACCATCCCATTTACACCTCTGCTGCAATCCTGTTATACAGCCCGCTGCCACCTTTGACCCCTCACGAGCTATAACCGCGCTCAGGCTGAACTTGAAAGAGTCTATTTTTGTCTCCTAGGAGTTGTTCAGCTCAATAACGAGTGCTGGGGATGTGTCGGTAGTTTGTGTTCATCAGTGAAGTTTTGATCTGCTGTATTCTGATCATGCTTTGTCTGTGACTTATGGCTCAAGGGGGCGCTGTTGCTTACATCTCAGATGTTACTTTTGTGAAGATTAAACCGGGTTGTTTATTGTGAATTCATCTTTTGGGCGGATTCTCCCACGATGGCATGCATGCATGACCCGTCTTGTGCTCTTCTTCCTGCCTTTCAAACGGTCTGATACGAGTGATTTTTATTTTTCAGTTTTTTGTTCTCGCTCTCCTGCTGTCTCCCTCTCTGGCTGCCAACTCTCCTTCTCCACCTCCCTCCATCTGCAAACTGTTTTATGATCACTGAACAACAGGCCCGGTAATGAGGATGAAAATGCTTCATGACAGGGCATTTGTGTGTGTGTATGTGTGCGTGTGTGTGTGTGTGTCACAGGTACGTAAGAGACTGGACAGTAGGCATAATAAATAGAGGAGGGTACCTTCTGTAGTTTTTACAGAATAAGAGGAGGCCCAGTGTTCTGTCTGTAAGAAACGATCCCTGATTTTGTCGGTGAGAGACTCAACCTAACAGAAATCTCATTCCTCCATCTCTCTAGGCTCTCGGCCGCCGCCTGCTGTTATCGATCTGCCTCTCCACTTAAAGATGGTCTGCCTTCAGCACTCTGGCATCTTTATTTTTATCTCCAGCCGCTTGTTTTGTTGGTCCATTTGCAGCTTTTCCACATGAGTGGGTGAATGATTGATGAACGTGATGTAGGACAATCATGTCCCTTACATTGTAGACCTTATATAACGGACTCCTGCAGGGGTCAGCGGTCATGAATATAACCATGTAGGCGTGAACACATGTGTCCGGAAGGGCTGCGTGGGTCGAAGTACACACATTACTGTTATGACCTGTTGTAACTCGTTGTTTGTATCTCTCTGTCTCCTTATTAAGACGGGGTATCACTAAAAAAAAAAAGTTTATTTATTTATTCAGCAGCTTCCTCCATCAAAATAAAATACAGACTTCTCCTAAAGTGAAGCTGCTCCATCGTCCCTTCTGGGCCTCCATACATGTGTGGTGGTGACTGTGTCTGCAGAGACTCTGTCCTCTCACTGGATTTTACTGTTCTGGTTTGTTCTGGTTGACTCGGGACGTTTCTGGGCGGAGCTGGTGTGTTTCCTCCAGCCAATGACAGGTGAGTTTAGGAGTGGATACAATTCAGTGATTGGACGAGATTCAAACTGGTGAATATGACGGACGTGGACGTAGCAGCAAAGAAGAGAAAATATAATCAGAGTGAGGAGAAACACCAAGTGGATAAAGCTCGTTCTAAAACGAGGGTGAACCTTGTGTTGTCTTTTACCCGTGGACGTGGAGTTGGTCTACTTCCTGTTGGACAGGCAGGTGACAAACACTGGCGGTTAGCTTGAGCTAGCGTGCGTTAGCTTGATATGAAGGTACAAGCAATAAACGTACACACTACGTCCTGCAGGGGGGCAGGGGGGGGCGATGAGCCCAGGAGGAGGGGCCCAGTTTGAATGTTGTGTTTACAAACTGTGACCAACCATACAAACTTGTCTTCTTCAGGAGTATAAAACCATTGTCACACTCAGGTAGCTTTTTACTTCTGTATCCACTCTGTCCAGCCCTACAGCATTGCTCTCTAAGGGTGTGACAGGTTTGATATCCGGTTTCTGTTTGGATCATGATGAATGAATTATGCGTCGCGTGCACCTGTCAGCTAAATACAGGCCTGATTTATTATGTGTGGGACAGAGGGCTGAAGGTGTGGCCAGTATGTGGGCTGGTACTGGCTCTGGAAGTACAGCCGGTGCCAGAACTTACCACACACACACACACACACACACACACACACACACACACACACACACACACACACACACACACACACACACACACACACACACACACACACACACACACACACACACACACAGCAGAGAGATTCACAGCCTGAGACTTCCTGTAGTTGGAGCGTGATCACAGCTCGTTTGCTGCTCCCTCTTAAACAACAGTCACATAACTAATTCTCTCCCTCTTACAAAAGAGCGGCCTGGCTTCCTCTTTACATTAACCTCCTTTCTGAATAAAGTCCGTCTGCCAGCTCCTTTAGTTCCTGAGTGCCGGTCCAACAGGGACTCAGGCGGGCAGGCCTGAAGTCAGATCAGTGATTTAAATGAAGCTCACATACTTAAAATTAAAGACATTACTGCAGCTGCAGCTGAGTGATCACAGCTTCACATCTTGAGGGAATGAACCAAACCGAGCAGTTCACCTGTCGACTGCAAGTTTAAAAATAAAAAATAAAAAAAAAAAAAAAAAGACTTGGTTGTATGCATTTCTTTTCTGTCTTCAGATTTTGACAGCTTTATTCGGGTAATGCCTTCTCTCGGGATAATCTCCGTTAAACAGCTTAGAAGACGAGCGGAGAAATCTGCACACTTCAAGTGTAAGATAGGATGTGTTCACTCTTGTACACCTTTTGTTAGAAATAAAGCCGAAATGATCCCTCAATCCAGTTTCATCATGAATCTGAACAGCCGGCTTCACGTTTGTTTTCCTCAATAAACGGCTTTACAGGACGCCGCCGCCTCTCAGGTGTGCTGTAGTTCTTCTTGTGTCCAGCTGTCAGCCATGTGTTGGATAATATTCACATGAATCCCCACATCTACCTGTGATGGTTACAAACTCTCTGCTGCTTTCATCAGTTGTAACCTGGCTGTTAGGAGAGATTCAGGTCCCTATGACAGATCGGATCCTGCAAAGTCTTCTGTGGGATATGTTACAAAAACGATCAACATCTTGAACTTACAAACTCTGCTCTGCTTAGCAGGAAAGTTTTCACATTTATTATAATGTTCAAAAGAAAAATAACCACAGGTAGTCAGTATCAGTGAGTTATTGTTTATCTAGTCCCCGGTGAGTAGTCAGTGTAGGGTTTGGAGGAGGTCAGACTGGTACTGGGGAGAAATGCTGTGCAGAGATTTTTAGGTGATGCACCGGGAGCGAGAGAAGGTGGATGAGGGTTGGGGAGATGCACTGCCAGGGCTTTGATCACACTGTTGAAATGTCAGGCTAAAAGTAACGCAGCTTCAAGTTATTAATGAGGGAATTTAAGTTACGAATAATTACTGAAATAAGAAGCTACAACTCTGACCCCTAGTGTTTAAAATGGGTACTGCAGTCCAAATTCAAAACATTGTGGAGAGCTGTCTCCCTCCGCCCCCTCCTCTCTAGAGTCGATGCTCATACAGGTTGCCATGTGGTGGACACTGAAGCTTCAGTTTTTATCCAGCTCTGCATCAGTCTGTAAACCTTTCTGTGTTCTAACCTCTCCCCATTTTTCAAAAGCGTCTCCAATATTGATCCTAGTTTGAGCACGTTTCTGCTCGTGGAGCTTATTGGAAACATGCAGAGGCTTTTTAGGTCGGGTACAATCACTTCTATCTGAACCACTTCTCTTGCCCGCTTCCATCGCTGCAACACCTGTTGACCTGATAACTGCTCTCATACCTGGCAAACTAAGGGACGTCCAAAACGGCTGTGTGGGGGTGTCTTAAAACCGCCTACCTTCTCTGGTCCAAACAAATCCAGAGCATTCAGGAGCAGAATCTAAAGTTAGAAGGAGGACATACTGGCTGCTGCATTGTTGTCAGAGAAGCCAGCACTTCAACATAGCATGTTTCCTTAATGTCTGATCATACAGTAAGGTCACTTTATCATTTCACTCACTACACATCTTACTGGTTGGACCTTTTAAAGAAGGTCAGAGGAAAGGATCAAGTTCAAATGTTTATCTTAAAGTAAATGATAGTGGAAATAGTTCAGACTAGCTAAAGCTTATGTCTCACAGAGACTTTGTGTTGTGCATCGTCTGCATCTTTAACCGGCCCCACCCTCATCACCCTCGTGCCACCTCCTGTCTGACTGGCACCCAGAGGGAGACATCAGGTGACTGCTGCAGCTGTGCCTGGCAGGGGGATCTGTGTCAGTTTATATCAAACCCCACAGTGGTGGAAAGCCAGCTGACCTGGTTGGAGGGCGCCCTGCTCAGCCTCACTGAATCCTGAGGGACGAGCTGGGTCAGTCGGTGCAGAGCTTTCTTGGTGGTTTTTATTTTTGTAAAAGGTTGAATTTAATGAATCTGCCTTAAACGTCCTCAGATTGGTGAGGTTGTGGTCACACTGGTGCTGACAGGTTCTCTCTCTTTGATTCTCAACTGATGTGCTGTTGGTTTTACGTTTGCGCGCTCTCTTTGCTGTCTCCGTGTCTGAGTGGGTAGGGCGTGTTTTACATGTCACAGTATCTGAACCACGGCGCTGCAGGTTAATGATTTCCAGCTCATACCTGGCTGTGTCTCAGTCCTGATGATAATCCTCTCTCACTTTTATACAGCTCCTCTTGCTGTTTGATGATTTCCCTTCATCATTTTAAGAATAAGCGTGGCGTTTAACATGTATCTTGTTTGTGTTTTTCAGAAGCTGGCAGCAGAGTGTCAGAGCGCCGGCTACAGCGGCACACTGATCCCTTATAAGTGCGACCTGTCCAACGAGGAGGAGATCCTGTCCATGTTTTCAGCCATCAAGACGCTGCACAAGGGAGTGGACGTGTGCATCAACAACGCTGGCCTCGCCCACAATGAGCCGCTGCTCAGCGGGAAGACGGAGGGCTGGAGGAACATGATCGATGTGGGTGGATCACACACACAGCGATATGAATGCTCTTATGTAGAATAGGAAGGGTTAGTGTTTCTGCTTTATTGATTTAATGGCCGCTGAGTTGAAATGGAACAGCAGAGGGAGGAGCTGGAGCGGTCTCTGCCCAGAGGGAGTGGAAGTCCTGTGTTTGTAGAGCTTGTGTTGTGCAAAGAGAAAAAGAGTTAAAGCAGAAATGTGTGGATGGATAGACACACACACTCACACACTGATCCCCTCCCCTCACAGAGGCCGCTTCATTGGCTCCGGGGAGAAGCTCTGGCAGGCACAGCAGAGGCCCGCTAATGAAAGCCGGCACTATTTCTCTTGTTAGGACATTCTGATTCATTGAGCTCTTGACCACCACAGACCCCCCTGCTCTATAGTCTCCGTCGTCCTGCGTTCACAACGCTCGTCCATCTGTTGTCATGGCAGCTCATGTGAATGAGTGCAGCCGTGTATTTTTAGCCCGTGTTTAATCTCTACGCTGACCTTGTTTGGTCACTTACCCCTATCTTGCCGCAGCGTTTGCTTTTAACCTTAGAGACCACGAGCTGGAACAGAGCAGCCGGTTCAGACGGTCCAACGCGCTGACCCAGTGAGCATCAGTCCGCTAAACTCACACAGCGTTATTACACGCCATTCTTACCTGTGACTCAGCGATACATCACAGTGACGTTGTGCATATATTCTTGTATTGATGACTTTTACATACCATTGATGAGCTTCTTGTGACATGGTGAAACAGCAGATAGAGAAGAGGGATACATAAATGGTTAAGGTTGTCTTCTTCTTCCCTGCAGGTAAATGTGTTAGCTCTGTCCATCTGCACCCGCGAGGCCTACAAATCAATGAAGGAGAGGAATGTGGACGATGGCCACATCATCAATATTAACAGGTAAGCTGTGCAGATAACATTCAGCTCTACAGACAAATGATGGATCCATCTGAAAATACCTCAGACAGTTTATTCAAGGCGACTTTAATCTTGATGGTATTTAATAAAACCAGTTGAACTAAAATGTTACAAGGCGGTTTTTCAAGGCACCCCCACACGGCCGTTTTGGACGCCCCTCGGTTTGCCAGATATGAGAGCAGTTATCAGGTCAACAGGTGTTGCAGTGATGGAAGCGGACAAGAGAAGTGTTTCAGATAGAAGTGATTGTACCCGACTTAAAAAGCCTCTGCATGTTTCTAATAAGCTCCACGAGCAGAAACGTGCTCAAACTAGGATCAATATTGGAGATGATTTTGAAAAATGGAGAGAGGTTAGAACACAGAAAGGTTTACAGACCGATGCAGAGCTGGATGAACACTGAATCTTCAGTGTCCACCACATGGCAACCTGTGTGAGCATTGACTCTAGAGAGGAGGGGGGAGACAGTTTTCTACAATGTTTAGAATTTGGACTGCAGTACCCATTTTAAACACTAGGGGTCAGAGTTACATATTGCTCCTTTAACAGTCTATCCTTCACATGTAGCTTCTTATTTCAGTAATTATTTGTTACTTTATTTCACTCATCAATAACTTGAAGCTGCGTTACTTTTATCCTGACATTTCAACAATGTGATCAAAGCCCTGGCAGCACATCTCCTCACCCTGCTGTGTGAGTTAGCGGACCGAGCGAAGCCTATCAGAGAAGTCTTAACGTTCCAGTACTCACACATGCGTTGTTACAGGATTCTGGGTTTGCCTCACTGAATAAACTTAGTGAGAAAATAATGTACTGTACATAGAGAGGTAAAACCTCTCCAGCTTCAGCTTCATTCAACATACACACAAATGTATACAGAGATCATGATTACACGAACAACAACCGCTTTACGGCAGCTACGGTAACTCCAAAGGGACACATTGCTCCAAAGACAAGAGCACATTTAAAAAATTAAAGATGATGATAACGTGCAGTGCAGCATATGAGGGGTTAACCTTCTCTCCTGCCTCCTGTTACAGTATGGGGGGGCACAGGATGGTACCCAGTGCTGATGAGCATTTCTACTGTGCCACCAAATACGCCGTGACGGCTTTGACTGAGGGGATTCGACAAGAGCTCCGAGAAGCCAACACCCACATCAGAGCCACAGTGAGTCGGTACCTGCAACAGCTGATCTGTACCTAAAGCCTTTGTTTATTTATTCACATAAAGTCTGCATGAAGGCGGAGCTTCGCATGAAGAAACATTTAGTGAGGCACGTAAATCCGCCCACAGGTTTCTGATCTTAACTTACTAAGTACGGAATTAAATTTCCCAAACAGAACACGGCTTCCCACGGCAGCAATCAAGAATGAAAACATCTGAGTATGGCCCCGTGTCCACCTGGCTTTTTCACCCTCTAAAGCCCCGCTTCCACCAAGTGGTCCAGTCCATTCAGCTCAGTACGCATATATCATCGTTTCCACCGTCAATAGTTGGAATGGTACCAAAATAACCGCTCCATACTGTCCTACTTTTGTTGCGTCTCTTCTGTTGGGGTTCCAAGCGTCCCGATGTGACCCTAAAGGGCGGAGTTATACACACATCAGTCTGTTGATTGGTCAGAAGAATCGTCACTTCCTGTGTGACAGCGGTAATAAAGGAGAGGGAGAGTGATTCAAGGCTGTTTTTGTTTTCAGCACGTTGCTCCGTCCCATGGACGACCTCGGAGGTGCTGACCTCTGCTGGATGTCCTCCATTGTTACCCTTTGTTTAGTGTGTCGCGTTCTTCTTCGTTTATTTCATTGGCGGGCTACTCTGTGTCACGCTGTAATGTAGCTGAAAGCCATCAGGCTTTACACCCAGCCTACCGAGTAAGGGGAACAGTGAGCTATGGAAAAAACTAACAAAATCAGGGTTTACTGTACCAAACCGTACTGAACCAAACTGGATCGCCTGGTGGAAACGGGGCTAGTGGACATTGTGCCCTCGCTCTCTACCTACACCGGTCGAGAAATGTGACCTGACTGTATTTGTTAGGTGGGGGTTGTTTCTGTTTGTATAAATCCAATGAAGAAATCGTGAAACAGACTGGAGATTATAACACTATTTAATCGGCCGAGGTCAGACAACTTCATCAAACAAGCATGCTTCCAAATCACTTGACTGACAAAGTGCTGACAAAGTAACAGTGTTCACAGTGCTGCTTATATTCTGTCAAAAAGGTGCAACCCACAAATTCCTTTCCATTTGGGTACATCACCATAAAACAATAAAGATGACATGACACTGATTTGTATACGTAACAACTGTAGACTCTCTGTCTAGCAAACAGTTGCTGACAACATATGGTTCACCCATATAAGTTTACAGCTTCAGACACCTAAAGGTAGGAGTGTTAACAGGTGGTAGGCAGACTTGAATAATACATTTCATGAAGTTACAAGATTAATGAATTTCATGAAAATTCGTACTAACAGTATTTAACGGACTGGCTCTGCTCAGAGAGTTTGTGTTTCATGCTCTGATGACTCTCCTCCCCTACAGTGTATTTCTCCTGGACTGGTGGAGACTGAGTTCGCCTTCCGGCACCACAACAGCGACCCGGAGAAAGCGGCTGCCGTGTACGAGAGTATGAAAGTAAGAGAGGGGGTAACACAGAGAGTCCAACGATGAACTCACACCTGAGGAGGTTTGTATCATTAACACGTCTGCTCTCCTCTCCGCAGTGTTTGAAAGCAGAAGATATAGCCAGTGCCGTCACGTTTGTCCTCGGTGCCCCCCCTCATGTCCAGGTATCTTTCTCCTCCTTAAATCATCACACGTGTCGGTACGCTCGCCCTGTCCCGTTTCTGTATTGATCTCTTTTTTTTTTTTTTTGTGTTTCATCAGATCGGAGATGTGCAGATGAGGCCGGTCGAGCAGGTGTCATAGCAGTGAGAAGGGAAGCTGCAGGAGGAGCGGACAGACGGCAGCCACGGTGACTCTTTAGCGACCTCTGGTGGGCGTAGGAAGAAGGGCGTGTGGGGGGTTGGGGTACAAAACAAATCAACTACAGCTGGTGTTGGATCTGCAGGGACGTGGTCGAAGAGGGCTGGAGCCTTAAGTAGGCTGGGCGTGGACTTTGTAACACCACTACAGAAATACTACTGAATGCAGAAACCTGTTTTTTTTATTTGTATGATGATTGGTCCTGGTCCTGGACTGAGCTGAATCTCCAGACTACAGAAGGAACAAATAGGAGAGGAGGGAGCTGCTGCTGCTGCGCCATGTGGTCGTCTGCACGGCCGTCATGTCAGAGGGGAGAGAATGCCATTGATTGCACATGTTGTGTGTTTTGTTCTGTAGGTCATGTGACATATCTTTTTGAAATCACATGGAAAAAAAAAGGTAATTGCTGTTTATGAAAAAATTACCGTTTTCTGTGGTTTAATTTTTTTTATAAGTATTTTAACTTTGATCATAGCTAGACGTGTTCTCATACTCACTAACCGTAAACAAATCTTTACTGCACTCGCTTTCACTAACCATCCGCTAGGCCACCCGGCCGCCTTCAAGACCTTTGCACACTGAGTCCCATTTATCGTCCGATATTGACGCTCGTTTAAAAAGTGATGTGATCATGTGATCTCATGTTGTGTCGATCAGGACTGCACACTGACGCCGATGTTTCTCAGAAAATGGTTCGGTTTTCTGCGTTTTCTCGCTTCCATCTCTTATAGGCATGCGTGCTCGGTGCATGCTTGGTGCGTGCGGCTGGAGTCTGATCTGTCTCGTTGACTCGGTGCTCAGATCACGCCACTAGATCCCCTTCCTCAAACATACCGCCAGCCGCTGTTCTGGATGAACTGCTTCCAGTAAATAGAAAATCAGTCTAACGTGCGGTTATACTAAAGCGAGCAGTTATCGGACCGCTGACTTTCTGAAACTCACCTGCAGAGTCTGCAGCTCCTTTATGGACCGGAGAAACTCTCCTCGCTCTTGTCTTGTTTTCAAGGAGTGAAGGAAACACTAAATCATCTTCACCGCTTGATCACTCTGCATGAAGAGGTTCTCAGTCATCCGGGTCGTGGTATGCTGGATCCAAAGACAGCTGGACTCGTCTGAAGATCTTGAAGAGGTTTCCCCGCTCCTCCTCAGAACTGAAGAAGTTTTTCCGAGGACAAGAGGTGAAATGTCTTCAACATCTTCAGCCCAGTCCAGCTGTCTTTGGATCCAGCTTCAAATCTCAAACAGCAAACTTTTGCAATCAATAAACACTCAACACATCGGACTCAGCGTGCGAAGGCCTTCACACTCTGCTTATTTTCCAGAACACGTTCAGTCACCAGGTTTAAGGAATCAGGACAGAGCATCACAGACAGAAGTCCTTCTGTTAACACACACACACACCTTTCTCTGGTCCACCTCTCTGTGTGTACCTTCAGTTATTCTGCACTTCGGATTCACAAGGAAGTCAAACACTGGAAACAAACGTATGTAGGGGGAAGACACTAACTCCATGCACATGTATGCTCGAAAGAAATGTGGAACTGTCTCCTTTAAATAAAAAATAAAAAAAAGATTGCTTGAAAATAATAAATGGTTTGTTTTCTGTTCACCAGATTGACTTTGAATCATTTTATATTATCCAAAGGACATCCGGCTTTCCTTCATTTCCAGTGTCTTGTCTACAAAACCCCCCAATGATGAGAAAAGTCCATCCTCTCCATCTTTTGCCTGCTCCACTTTTCTGAAAATTTTATGACATGACAAAGGGCAGTAACCCCTCCCCCAGGTGGGTGACACTCCCATAGCTAGGTGTTTGTTCTGCTCTCTGAGTCTGCCTTCTCACCATAAACAATAGGACATGGAGCGAGAAAGCCCAAGACACCCGAGCTCTTCCAGAGAGGGGGCGTGGTCAGACACATCTCATTTACATTTAAAGGTACAGACACAGAAACAGCCTGTTCTGAGTAGGGCTGAAATAGAGGGGTTTATAGGCATGTAATCAAATACAGGATCAGAGTGGATTTAGAACAACACACTTCGCACACATGTTTTGAGGAGCTCTGAGACTTATTTAAATTGGTTGAAGAGGAGGAGAATATGTGCCTTTAAGAGGTTCCCAAACCATGACACCAAGCGAAAGGCCAACCAACCTTCTCATAAAGGTCACAGTGAGGAGTGCTGAATCTCTCAGCAGTTATGAATCTGAGGGTGAAGTGATCGACGGCTTGCAGAGGCTTTAGAGTTGAAGCTGCAGCTTGTCGATAAATGACGTCATCGTGATTTATTACTGACAAGAATACAGCTTCAACAATTATTTTTCTACAGGATCAAACCGAAAACATGATTTTATCCTTCACAGAAGCTGCACGCCAAGATATTTCTACTCTCCGTTTCTGAGCCCTCATGTAATCAGACACAAGCTGTGGACTTTGGGACAGAATATTTTATTACACCTTACATGACATATCATTGAGTCCGCAGGTACTCCCTTTATTATCAGCTCCCATTTATCACTTTTTATCAGCGGTGATATTTGACCTAATGAGTGAGTCAGCTACCACGAGGCGGCACATACCGGATCAGGTTTGTGGAGGAAGTTCTAAGATATCAGCGTTTATTCAACACAGGGCTAAAAGTTCTGAAACAGATGCATTAACAGACATAACCTGAAGATGGCGCACTTTTCAAAGTAAAAGCCTCCCACGATCACACAGTGAGTCACAGTTTTAGTCAGACACGAATCATGTTCACAACAATAAAAGATTTGAAACATCGGCTCCCCGAAACGTCTCATGGCTTAATAAAAGAAGATCAGTTCTGTACGCAGAAGTTTAATTTACAGGCTCACAAAAACAGCCGATTTTAATATCTGCATGGCAGATATGCAGTAGTGCATTTTCACGATCATGTGAATAATTAACGTTGTATTCTTCTGTCTCACGTCCGAAGCAGAAGTTAAAGATTTGAAGCTGATGATCAGCAATCATTAGTGATCAACTGGAGATGACTCTCGGAGAACGTTATGAGGTATCAGAAGTTTGTCTCAGCAGGAGGCTTCTCAGGAACACTGATGTTGGAGCTGATGATGGATAAACCGGGGTTTGCAATGATTCCTCCCCGCTCATAGTACGGCATCTTTTGCTTTTCATTCAGCGCGTAGGGTGTGATGGACAGCTTCAGTTTCTGCAGGGAGACACAAACATGTCAACGCTACAGGAGTTTCCTCCCATAACACAAAAAAGTAAGCTAAACTATGCACACTGCTCTGAAAAGATGGAGTAACAGAAACACGACTCTATGGAGTTCGACATAGGCCCAAAACATTTTTTTTATATTTTTGTCGATTTTGCCAATAACAATGATTGACGATATTTTGCATCCCACTGTGTTTAAAAACTATCATGACAGCATTTCAAACGAGGCCGCTTGAATTGGCAACATATCCTTTGCACCATATTTGTCTACAGCGTTTGTTGTTTCTGTTGTTTTCTCATTCACGTCCCCCCATAGTCCTGTGTGTGTACCTCCTGTATAGTCTTTGCTGTAAGGAGCATGTGTGAACAACCAGATCAGGAGAATCTCATTAGCATTCCTCCTGAAATTATCTAGATATTTTCAGTAGTGAATGTGTGAAAACTGCGTCAGTCTGCTGCAGATTCAAGTCTTTTAGGCAGCATCCCTCTTTTCGAAGCCGAATCACCTCCATGCCAGTGAAGATGATCCAGCCGGCTGTATGGCTTTTTAACTTTAGCCATGCAGTTGGCTACACTAGCTTAGCTGGCTAAGTCTGTCCTACTCGTACTCGCCCTACCGTCCCTCTCTCTCTTTCACTGACTCTCTCTACTGTCCTGTCTTTCAATAATAAAGTCACAAAAAGCACAAAATAAACCTTGAAAAAAAGCAAATGGTTGATGAACAATCACCTGCATTAATGATCCAGGCAGCACCCACAGTGTGTGGATGGCACCCAAAGGAATCCAAATGATGGAAGCCATGGCGATGAACCAGCCGACCCCCTGAGCCCAGGGAGGGAACACGATGTCCTCATAGCGGGCCGGTTTGAACTGAATGACTGAGAAAATGAGGAGCACCTGCAGGACGGAGGAAAGTGTTACATTCAGAGAAGTCTTAAAGGTGTAAATAATAACAGAAATGTGTTTCCTCACAGTGATGAGCACAGGAGCAACGATCAGCCAGCAGCCCATGAAGAAGATGTTGGCTCCTTGTCCTGTCATCTCTTTCAGGTTACTGGAGAGTCGATTCACTCCTGCACACAGAGAAGTGCAAACATCAGTAAACAGACATAAATCTCTTCATATGCATGTAAATAGCATTTAGCAAAGGTGATTACAGTGAGAAGTGACATCCATAGCTGCACCTAACTATACAAACACTGCACGTTAACACAAGCGGAAAGAGAAACATCGAGTGTCAAACATCAGAGTAAATATTCACAAACACCGTGAGAATCCTCTCAGAGATTCCGAACTCAAAATGTTCAATCAAGGAGTCGCAGCTCAGGAGAGAGTAAGGATCATTCAGCCTGTCGTTAGGTTGACTGAATGTTAGGGTGAGACAGCATTTCCAGCATGGAGACTGCCATGGATGAGCCTCCAGAGCCCCCTGCAGGAACAGACGGGTGAAGTCACTCAGGCTTCAAACATTCAAATTTACAGTTTGTGTTTCAGAGTAATTAGGACACTTTCAAGCTAAGTTAGGATCTCTCTGAGGAGATTCTCTGAGTGTTTGTGAAGAGAAGAAGAAGAGGAGAATATGTGACCTTTAAAGGGGACATATCATGAAGAATCCTTTGTGTTTTTGAACATATATTTGGGTATGTCTACCAACCCACAAAATGTGAAATAAACCCATCCAGTCCTTTGTTTTAGGTCTGCATAAGTCTTGCAACACCGAGAAAAATGCTCCGTTTCAAATGTGCTCACCTTGGTCAAAAAATACCCTCCCCTCCCCTCCCCTGGTATCTCCACTCATGGACTCCACACCCAGTCTAGAGAAAAACTTTTGAGCAGGTCCGCCCAGAAGGGGGATAATATGTCCTCTTTAAAGGTGCTATATACTCAACATGTTTCTCACCATAAAACCAGCAGATGGCGAGAATCTCAAAGAATGCCAGAAACATGATGGACACAATGGCGGTGTAATGGTCCATCAGCTGGAAAACATAGATCCCCACCTGGACAGAGACACACCGTTAGGGAGCAGTTTGGTGAACACCTGGTGAAGTTGAAACCCAGGAAGTTAAAGTGTGTACCTGCATGACGAGAGGAATTCCCAGAAGACAAGCTGCACTGCAAACAGCCAAAACAAAGAGCTCCTTACGCTTGAAAATGTGAATCAGGCTTTGATAAAACTCGTCCATGAGACTGGTCACCATCACTTCCACCATCGCAAACTGATAGGAAGTCACAGAAACAAAGAAGTCATACTGGTCTGGTGCAATCATTTATCAATGTGAACTGAAGTGCTTCCCCGTGATCTACCTCGCTGTCCAGTCCCAGGCACAGCAGCATGAAGAAGAACATCACCGCCCACAGCTGAGACACCGGCATGTTGGCAAAGGCTTGTGGGTAAACAATAAAAACCAATCCTGGACCTGAACACAAACAGGATGTCAGTCCAGCATGGGGATGATTCAATAAATCGTTACACATAAAAAAAAAAACAGGGAAACTGAGACGAGGAGATGTTAATATATTGAGAGTTACAGATATGAGCAGAAAGATTTTGTTACAAAGGTTTCTATTTTAGGTTTTAATCTCCACTTCATCTCCCAAATCAAGATTTAAAAAGTCATTGAGGGTTTCTGTGTCACTCAATGGAGATGTGAGGGCACTCTTTAGTTAGTAATGGTGTTGTAGTACTTGAAACCGGTCTTGGTCTCGAGATTCAAATATCTTTATTGAGTTTTCATCATATAAACACAAAATACAAAAAAAAGAAGAAGAATAAAACATAGAAAACACCAGGGTTGGGCAGTAATATTCCACATTGCCACAAATGGTAGATAGTAATGTGCAGAACAAGTAAGACAAACAAGTCTCTGTGGCAGTGACAGTAATACCTGATAAAGTGCAATAGCCTATTCCACCCTCCCATCCCCAGCTGTCCTGAAAAAATTAAGGCGTAATATCTAAGAGTTAGTTTGCAGCGCACCACACAGAGTCAGATCTTACTTTTTATGCCAAGGGCCGGATCAAAGTTCATCTCATGATGATTTAGTTTGAGTGTTGGTTAAGAAAGGTTCCCATGTCTCATAGAATTTCCTCTTCAAGCTTCTGACAGAAAAACATAACATCTCGAGTTTGAGACAGGACATTACATCCTGATGCCACTGGTAAAGCGTGGGCAGGGCAGCACCCTTCCATTTCAGCAGGATTGCACGTCTGGCCAAGAGCAAGGCAAAAGCGACCATGCGGTGTTCTGTAGAAGTCAGGTGGGGGTTATCTCCACTAGCAACACCAAACAGGGCAAGGGTAGGGCAAAGGCTTAGATTTTTATTTAATATTGTAGGTAAAGTATGGAAGATGTCATGCCAGAATTTCTGAAATTTAGGACATAGCCAATAC